ACAGAATACTTACCGGAGGGCAACCTAGTAACTGTGGCCACACTGCCTGGTTCAAATCCTCCTCTGGCTGCTTAAACTCCTCAGGTCTCAGTTTCCTCAATAATAAAATAAGGAGAACGGTGGTACCTGCTTCATGGGGTTACTCTGGAATCAAATAAATGCATAGAATAGAGTCGAGCCCTTAATAAATGCTTTTTTTTTTGCTTTTTAATTTTATTTTAGGTGTTTTCATTTTATTTTTAACAAACACATAATATTCGTACATATTCATAGGGTGCAGTGTGATGCGCACATTGTAAAATAATCAGTCATATCAGGGCATTTAGCGCACCCACCACCTCAGGTGTTTATCATTTCTTGTATCTAATTCCCCTCTTGCAGCTGTTCTGAAGTCCACATTACTGTTGACTACAGTCATCAGTGGTGCAATGCCACACAGAGCTCATTCCTCAGGTCTAACTGCAGCCCTGCACCGCGGGCCAGCTCCCTTTCCGGTGACCACCGTCCTGCCCTCACCTTCTTTGAGACTGACTTGTTTAGGTTCTACACATGAGTGAGCCCCTGCGGCATGTGTCCTTCTGGGGTTCGCTTACTTCCCCTAACAGTGTCCTCCACGTTTATCCGTGTTTCACAAATGGCAGAATTTCATTCTCTTGGGGCTGGATGGTTCTGTACTGTGTGTGCACACCGCAGTTTTAACCCAGTCACTTAGGCTGCGCCCACAGCGTGGCTGTGGTGTGCGGCCCCGTGATGAACACGCAGTGCAGCTGCCCTGTGACACACTGATCCCGTTTCCTTCGCACGTGTACCCAGTGGTGAGATTGCTGGGTCATGGTTTTTATTTTTAACTAGTAATTTCCCCAAACAAGAGCAACCTGCCTAGATTATTGCTAGTGGAATACGTATATTTATCTTACTAATTAGATTGTTAGAATGTTGGAGAATAAAGACAGGGTCTTGTCTTTCTTTTGTAGCTCTCTTTTTGAGCTGCGTAACCAACAGGAGAGCCAGATTCTGTAATGCCACCATCTCAAGTGAGTACTACTTTATCACTGGCAGAGACGAGGAAAAAACAAAGAACTCTTTCCCAGTTCGTCTGGAGGAACCAAAGGGGGAAGTTGACTGTTTCTCATCACTTATGAGTATCATGACTAGAAACTGAATTGACTCCTCAGCCGTGTTTTCTCAACCCACAGTGCTTCTGAAAAGAAATATTTGTCACTTCTCGTGTCTGCTCTGTCCTATGAAAAATAGGTGGGATTAAGAACTAAACAAAAGTGCCAACAACGAAGGAAGGGCAGAACCAGTGGCCACCACTCAGCTGGCCTTGGTTCTGAGGCCATCTGTAAGACAACACTGCCACCTGTTGGAGAGAAAGAGCGAGTCGGTTGTGATTGTTAGGGACAGAGTTGCTGGTTGCAGTATGAGAAAGAAAAAGGAACGGAAAAGCCGCCCCCTGCTGAAGCCTCCCCAGGAGCGCAGAGGAGAGGTCCTTCCCCCACAGCTCGCTGAAGTCTGAGGCCTGCTTTCCCCTCCCACGCCCTGGGGAGGACTTCAGCTCCACCTGGGGGTTTGCTCTTCTGCATCCTCACACCTGGTATATGCACCTGCCTCCTGAGGAACTGCTGGAGGCCAAGAGTGACAACCGCTAACACCTGCCACTTAAATGGGGCGAGACTTTACTTCTTCGAAGCTTTGTTTTTAACTGACACACACTAATGGTACATATTGATAGGGCCCTATGGGATGTTTTGATAGTCATGTGCCTTGTATACTGATCCGATCAGGGCAACGCACATATCCATCACTTCAGGCTCTGCAGAGTCTCTGTGGTGAGAAGACCCCACATCCTCTCTTCCAGCTACTTACATTACACTATTGCTAATTATAGAACCCCAGGACCGCGGTAACCCCTGTTCTCTACCTCTAGGAGATCAGCGTTTTTAGATTCCACATGAGTGAGTTCGTGTGAGTTTTGTCTTCCTATGGAAGGGACATGACTTCTAATAACTCAGATGACGATTTTAACAAGTCAGCCAAGATGGGTCCCTGTTTGTGGGGCTTCAGCCAAGTTGCTCATCTCTGTTCCTGTCATTGCTACACAGTCATAATCTCTGAAATGTTTCCAAGAAAAATGAATCAGAGTCTGATACTCCGATGGTGAGATGACATGTGAATATTAGTCCCTGACCTGGAGATCAGAACTGCTTTTGTGGGATGTCTTCAGAGCTAGAAGCCTATAACTTCTGCACCAGACAGCACCTTTCCACTAACGAACACATTCATCTACGGTGGAAATGCTCACCCCATTGCTTTCCCATTGCTAGCAAGCAAACAGGTAGGAGAGAAAATCTGGAATGGCCTGCTGACATTGAAAACCCAAGTAGGCGTGGAGGTGGGTAATGAGAGAACATTGAAGAACAGGAGGGATCGAAAAGAACCAGGCATCTCAGAGAACAGAGGAGATCTGAAGGAAATAAGGACCTGTTTTTTGTCTTTGGGAGATTTTTTTCCCAGGAACTCCTTGGGTTGATTTCCTGACTGCAAAGATTATCCTATCAGGGTAAAGTGTGTGTGTGTGTGTGTTTTCATTCCAAATAGCAGACACCAGTTCTATGAGTGCACAAGGTAATGTGTGATGTCACCTGAGTGGCGTGATTCAGAAGTTTATAGGTCATAAAATTTCCAGTTGAGACAAACAATGAAAAATAGCATGAGGAAGCACAAATTGCAAAGACGAGGGCAAGGAAAACTCAGCCACATCAGAAATAGAGAGCCAAACTCTAGGAGCCATTAGGAGCATTCTTTCCCTTCTTATTCTTTAGTTGCATAGAACAATAGTCGTTCCTGCCCCATCTGGAGTTAGGCACGACCACATGACCTACACCAGTGAAAGGAGAGGGACGCAGTGTGTTTTAATTCTAGGTAAAGCTGTAAAAGCCAGTATAAAAGTCACTGCATATCCTTTTCCTGCCTCAGCAATTGTGGATCTGAATATTAAGATGGAGCATTTCTCATTCTGGTCTCTGGGTAACCAAGATGATGAGGCCCCAAGATGCTGATTCGCATTTGCTATATATATGTTTTTTATAGTGTTAAGCCATCAAGAGGTTTGTATGTTTGTTACTGCAGCATAACCTAGCCCATCCTGACTAATACACAGGATTCCCATGGGTTATATAAAGTAATAACTAAAAAAATAAAAATACAAAGGAAAATCTTAAATAATTTTAAAATCTAAAGCATTCATTTTGGGATAACCAAAGGATAGGGATTTATTTAGTAAGCACAGAGAAATATTTTATGTGTCTAAAATTAGTATGTGTATGTTTCATAAAGTTATTTTTGATCCTTAGCTGTCTTCCCATTGAAGAGTGTATTTTTTCCTTATTTTCCCAACTCCAAAAGCAGTGGTAAAAACACAGGGTATTTTTCAGGTATCTCCTTTCTCTCTGTGTTACAAATACTCTTTCTCATTTTCCACACTGGAAAGTATAGCATCAACTCAATTCCTTGCTTCTTGTGTCCACATATCGTCTCTTTATATAGAAGCCAGAGAGATTTTATCCCCTCCATGCACAAGGCCAATGGTTCAATCCCCAGCACCACACACACACACACACACACACACACATACGCAAGCCTTAAGCTGGACTACATCACTCCTCTGACTGGTGTCCTCCAATGGTTCACCATCCACTCAGGAAAGTTGGCTCCCACAGGAGCTTCTAAGGTCCTCTGGGACCTGGCTCTCAGCCACCTCTGCTTCACTTTCTCTCTCCTTACCCCTGGGCACAGCTTCCTGAGTATGCAGAGCATGTCCTTGACTCGGGCCTCTGCTTGCTCAGCTGTGCCAATGGCTGCTTCTGTGGTGTGGGGTCCTCCTTCCTGATCACTCTCTGCACTCCACAGGCTCCGCCCTCCCACGGACCCTGATTTGTTTTTCTTGGAGGAGTCAATGCCAGTGTAATGGAGCGTTATTTGCCTCTGTGTGCATTCATACCCTGGTTCCCGTACCTAGAACATGAGCTCCTGGGAGTCGGGTCGTGTGTGTGTGTGTGTGTGTGTGTGTGTGTGTTGTTCGCCGTGGAGCTTGTCCACCTGGAAAAGGATCCTGTGCGTAGCAACTGTTTGATAATGAACCTGGAGCATTCTCTCCATGCTGGACTTCTCTGCTGTGCTGCGGGGCTTAGAATTCCCCTCTACACCCCTGAATTTGCCACGAGAGCGCTACCACTGACGTTCCCGGAGAAAGCCCAGGGCAGAACTGCACTTGCCCATAAAGGAGACGGCAAAAAGGGAAATTTGTGTGTGTGTGTGGGGGGGTAACATTAAGTTGAGTTCCAAATTTTATTTTTCAGGATATAAGATTATGGCCTTGTTTTTGGTGTTAACGTTCCTTTCATTTATGAAGGGACCACTGCGCTTGGTGACAGCTCGCGGGTTTGTTGCTTACTTGCAGCAAACTTCCTTTTGACTGTCTTTACTTGGAAAGGTAAAGAGTGGGACTCCTCCCTAATTCTCGGGTTTTCAATGCTCTGGAATGGGCTATTTAGCAAGGCAGGGAGCTGAAGCCCACAGAGACTGCCTCCTGCTGGCTCGCAGACCTAGATGCTAGAACTGCGGCCAGGCCTCCTTCGTCCACTGACTCCTCCTCATGAGGCCCCTTGAGGATAACCTCCGCCCCACCCTGGAGTGTGTCACCTGGCCACATCGCTCTTTCGAGCAGTTAGCACTTTGGGGGTCCAGTAGAAACTCAAGGCTCTTCCTTCTCATTCCTCTGGGCTTATTCTTCCCTGGGGGGTGGGGGTGGGGGTGGGGGGGCACGAAAATCAAACACTGTCATTTGTCACCATGCACTTGAGTGCCAGGGCTCTTGCCTTGAGTCTGCGCCCAGAGCTGTTGTGGATCTCGAATGCTCCCCAGTGGTGCCGTGGGAGGGGGTGGACGGGTGCGGCGGGGGGGGGGGGGGGTCTCCCGGAGGCAGGGGGGCCACTGGGAGTACGCCCTGGAAGGGGAGCTGGGTCCCTGGCCCGGGGGCTGCCCTCTGCCTCCTGGCTCCGGGAGTGAGCCGCTTCCTTCACCACCGGCTCCCACCAGGACATTCTGCCCCAAACAGGCCCCAAAGCCAGGAAGCCAACCAGCCATGGACTGGGACTGTGAGCGGAAACGAACCTTCCGTCCTTTCACGCTGTTCCTCTCAGGTATTTGTCACAGTGACAGAAATGCGACTAACAAAAAAGCCAAGTACTTTTTATTAGTAACCACACCAAGGAATAGAAATTTTATTTTCTCCTTTTAGAAATTTCACAATCTTACCTAAATACCTCTTTGTTGTTTAAAGCAGCAGCAACATGCATGTGCCGTAGAATAGACGTGTCTGCTTAGACCCTTCCAGATCTGTTTTCCTATGTATTTACACACAGACCAGCGTAGTATTCTAAGAAAAAAATCTTGTAAATTTGTGAAAGAATGAATCATATACAAGAAGATGGAGAAAACTGTCTGGCACTCTGCTCACAGTGGTCATGTCTGAGGGGACAGGTTGAGAGTGAAGTATGAATTTTACTACTATATTAAAATATGACCCCTAAGCTGATGTTGGGTGGAATATTTGGGAGAATCAAAGGACTTAGGAAAGTCATCTCAAATACGGTGGACAGAATGTCCATGCTGGAAGCAAATGAGAGAGCTGGGCCTCCTCGCGATCTTCCCCAGCCGTTTTCAGTCCCTTAGTTCTGAAGAGGCTGATGTTGGATTGAGACAGTTGGGGTTCTTTTTGATCCTGGAGTAGGGTCCATAAAGGATCCTTTTGATCCAGATTTCAGTGACTTTTTTGGTTCCCCAGAGGTGGTCCCAGCACCCTTGGCACTGTGGGCCCGGCAGGAAACTGTCCTGTGAGCAGCAGAGTCCCTGGGAGGTCTCCTGGCCTCCCTTTGCTATTGAGGATGTTGTTTTCCACCGTGTGTGTGTGTGTGTGTGTGTGTGTGCGCAAATGTGTGTTTTGCATCTAACTGAACTCCAAACTTTATTGTAGGCTGGAAGCTGATTTCCAAGTATGCAAGATCCCTCTAGCCTGAGGGCCTGCCCACTGTCAGCCCTGGGTAAACACTGAGCATCTGCCGGTCAGTCGAATGCTGCTTATTTATTCTTTCTTTAGGAGCCCTGGAGCTGAAGACTGCTCCTGATAAGAAACCCCTCCCCTGTGCCCATACGCCGTTGGCTCATGAAACTTCCTGCAGTTGTGTTTCTTGTTATCTTGGCAGCTGATCTATAAGCAGACAGAGAATGCCAGGCTCACTCCAGACCCCCATCAGCAAGGACCAGTCAGTCATCACCCCTGGCAAGGAGAAGGGACACCCTCCCTCTGTGGGCGTCAGGGCCCTGGGAAGCAGGTCCAGACTCTCAGGAGACAGACTGCGGACCCCATTGCCTTCTCATCATCCAGAGTCCTGACCTCCACCTGGGAAATGTCTGTGCCTCCATCACGAAGCGTATAAGGTTGGTAAGCTCAGAGAACCACCATGTTCCAGGATCGAAGGGATCCTCAGTTGTACATGAATCCAGTGCCCATCCCCTTCACAGCTAAGGGTGAAGATGGCTAGAGGCTTATGTAATACATTTATCGTTAGGAAGTTTTCTTTTCACATATGTGAACATTTGAAATCTCCCTCCTGAAGCTTCTCCTCATTAACTGATTTTTAAATAATATTGAAAGCTGAGCTCTTTCTTACGTACGAGGCTGGAAAGATGGGCCAGACACAGTCCCTGCTTTCCACAGCTCCATAGCTGGGTTGTGAGATACTCGTATAAATGTGTAATTCATATGGCGTAAGTATGTAAAATGACACATTTTTGGTTTTTTCCCGTTTATTGGAACATTATAATTATACAAAAGAGTAGAGTCTGTCGTTGCATACCTGTACATGCTCATCATCCAGAGTCCAGCAAAACAGTTTGCTCAGTTTTGTCTCCTGGTACCTTCCCCTTTCCCTCACCTTCCCCCTACACCCCTCCCTCTATTCTTTTGGTGTCCTTTCTGAAATGACACATTTTTTGTATAAAAGCGGGAGGAGCTGGCAGGGTAAAGGAAGGGAAGATTCCTACAGTAGGTCATTTGTCATCTCTCTCCAGTTGGTTAATCATAAAGCTATTTTATCAGCCACTAATCAACCCAATTCTTCCACGCAGTCTGACCTTCTGCCTCTTTCCCACGAACAGTGGTTGCCGTGGGAGGCACCGTGCTGGAGTCCCCAGCCTGCCTGCCCACCCCACTCCCAGCCTGTGCAGAGGGGATGGAGCCCGTGGAGCTGGCCCCCACTTGGTCACCTTCCCAGAACCTTGCCAGGGTCCCTCGCCTATGCACAGCATTTGCTGCTGAGAACGTGGTAAGGAGGGACTGTGACAGGGGCTGACGTTCTGTTCAGTGCTCGAACAAAGATACAGATGACAAAACGTGGGTCCACTCTCCCACTTCGGCACAGCTTCCATCCAAGACTAAGCCAGCGCTGTTGTCAGAACAGAGAAGCAGAAGGGACCTGGGTTCTTTATCACATTATTGTGCTGCTGGAAGGATGGACCCTGCCTCAGACTCCCAAACTGTGGCCCAGCAAGTGCACTTGATCTTGAGGCCAGGTTGAGTCGGGTTTTGTGTTACTCACATCTAAGACAACCCTCAGTGTTCAATCTGTCTAAACCCTCGTTCAGTCCAAGAGATGTTATGGCTGTGGTGTCTTCTAGATGATTGCTCTAATTAATATCGGAAAGGTAAAAAGTTGCTTTGGTTTGCCTTACGTCTGTGAATTGGTTATGGTTACTGGTGTCTAAAGTCACATTTTCCTGGAGCCGTATTCTTGATTCACGTAGAGTCTGAGTAACAGTTGAAAGCAACTCAACTCCCAAAGCCCTGGTTGCACATCTACTCTGCCCCCCACACGATGCTCAGGGCCAACGGGCACAGAGTGGTTCCCAGTAGGATGTGGCTCCTTTCAAGCTCCAACAGAGCTTGAACTCCTTTGGAAATCAAACGTCACATTAGGAGCTCGAGTGGTGGCATCATACACCAGGTCCAAAACTTGCCTTGCTCTGCCGGGCAGTACACACGTCCCGTTTCCTCCTCACCTCTTACTCATGCACGAGGAGATTAAGTTCAAAGGGTACCTAACTTTCTCAGAGTGACTTGTCAGACATAATGATGCTGGGACATGGTACAGTACTGAGTCCAAAGCTATAGACATCCAATGTTTGGGTGGGATCTGAATGTGTCACTGATGGCCACAGGCCCCCGGCAGCCAGTTCAGGGCTGGTGTCATTTATCTGTTCTGGAGATACACTCTGAAGTCAGAGATGGTGCTCAGTTGATCTTCGGGGGAAAAAAATTCCCATATCAGGCAAAAGCTCCATCTGATGACATTTAGAGCAAAGGGCAAGAGCGCTAAGCAAGCTCTGTGGTTATTTCTCCATTCTGTGAAGGCTTACTGTGCCCAGCGTGCGACAGGCATGGCTCTCAGCACAGTGAGATCACAGGTTCATGAGACTCAGTCCCTGCTCTGAGGATCTGTGACCTGCCAAGGGGCAACTGCTGCCATGGATCAGATGTCTACCCCCTACTGGGCATCTCTCACAAGCCACCTGCAGTCTTTCCAAGGGGTTGCCGTGTAAGTCTTTGTGTTCCCATCCCGAGGATGGGGATCTGAGGCTCGAACAGCCCTCCGCAAGCCAGCAAGAAAAACCGAGATTGGAAAGCAAGTCCCACCCCAAACTTGTGTGCCTTTCCAGGTGTCACTGGGTCAGATCCACCTGAAGCCTAACCTGACTGAGTAGGGAGTGTCGCACAGGTGTTCCTCTTGTATTCTCCACTCCCTCTACATGAAGGGAGTTTGGGTTTGCTGTAGGCACTCAGAGAACCGCATCGTGTATTGTCAGTTCTGTAACAGAAACTCCATCATCCTTCCATGATGCCAACCAAGTGGTCAATCTCTAGAAATCTGAGGTCTGCATACTGGAATTCCAGTTCAGTTGGCTGTGACAAGCACTCTTGCCTCCACAGTAAGTACTGACCCTCCCTGGGCCTTCATGATTCCCACTTTACAAACGGTGCATCTGAAGCTGTCACGAATTGCTCAAGGTCACTCATGTTATATAAGTGAAGGAGGTTCAAGATTCAAAATCCAAAACACTCTGTGTAGCATCGTTTTAAGTGACATGTCCAAGTTTTCTGTATATTTTCAAGGATATGTCCAAGTCTAGTACGTCTTCTGCTAAGCCAGCGCGGATGGGGAATGCATTCTATGGTTCTTGAATGGTGAGAATGACTTTCCTTTAAAATACCTCCTCTCTTTCTTACTTTCCTCCCAGCTCCATTATTGCTGGAAGAGTATTCTACGTGTTTCTGCCTCTTCTTCCTGGTGTCTCCCACGTACTGGGCCTGGCTCCAGTGCTCTCCCTGAGCATTCCCAGGGGACAGTCCTTGTCATGCTATAGCCTGTCTCTCAGTTTTCATGAGAAATGACTCTTTGTGGCATTTACCAAAGGGGAAAAGTCTCCCAAGCTTCTCTAAATAGATTAAAGTACTGCTTTTCTCATAGTCTTTTTAAAAGGCTTTTCTTCTCTCCTCTTTTTTTAACTTCATGACTCATCTCATCACTAAGACCCAGACAGTTTGTCACATGAAAACCACTGGGGAGTCTTCCTTTCTATCCTTGGTGTGACTGAGACAGTGATTGTTCTTCCTGGCCCCAGGTAACCTCCAGGGAATACTTTTTTTATTTTTAGAAAGAAGAAATATCAAAATTAAACATGTAAGATTTATTTTTTAATGTATTTTTGTGATTGTAGATGGACAGCATGCATTTATTTTATTTGTTTATTTTCATGTAGTCCTAAGGATTGAACCCAGTGCCTCTCATATGCTAGGCAAGCGCTCTACCACTGAGCTACAGCCCCAGCCCTGAGATTTAATTTTTAAATCAATATTGTGATAAAATTCAGTGGAGATGAAAAGCTCATTTGGGTAAGGCCACAATCATTTTTATTTCTGCCCTCTTATGAATGCTTAGTAACAAATTAGAATTTTCTTTATTTTTAGCATAAATCCAGTCCTGTTTGAGAGCTTCAAGGGGGTGACCATTGGGTGGAACTGCAAGGAAAGAGCAGGGATACCCTTCACTATATTTGGAGGACATAGGTGTTTAGGGGACCCTATCAAGAGAAAGTTGGAATAATTGTGGAAAAAACAAGTAGGTAGAAAGGAAAGTCCTGGTTTTTCAGGGAATATCCAAAATCATGTTTTCAACCAACACCTCTCAGTGAAGTAGTGAAAAATCAGTGACCGAGGTGTCTACTCCAGCGTCCAATCCCACTTCGGCTACTTATGAACTACATGTGGTTAGTTTGACCTCTCTGGATTAATAATAGTTACTACTGCACGGGATTATGGGGAGGCTTCAATGAAATCACACAGGTAAAACCCCTGGCGCAGCGCCTACTGGTCATCACTGTTCAAAAACATGTTACTATCGTTATAATTATCACTATTTTCTAGATGTCAATGTTCAAAGTAGTCCAAGTGGTGACAGGATGTTTTCACTGGGTATCCATCCACCCTCTCGAGTTATCAGGATCCAAGTGGATTTTTCACAGATCAGGTGAGTGGACAGGTAAGACAAACATAGTTGATGTAGGAAACAGGTAAACACATTGATTACATGTCCTCAGTGCAGGCTCATGAGGCGATGAGCCTTGGTTCCAGTGATAGGCAGGATTCCCTGAGTGCTGACATAGAGGTCCTCTCCAAAGTCTTGGTACTCATAACCTCAGCATTCATCTATAATATTCACATGATGTCACAGGGCACGGTGGCCTGTAATCCCAGTGGCTTGGGAGGCTGATGCAGGAGGATCACGAGTTCAAAGCCAGCCCCAGCTATTTAGAGAGGCCCCAAGCAACTTAGCAAGTCCCTGTCTCTAATAAAATATAAAAAAGGGCCGGGGATGTGGCTCAGTTGATAAGGGCACCTAGAGTTCAATTCCTGAAACTAAAAAGAAAAAGAAAAAAAAATCACATGATGTTAACCCAATGTTTTGAGGGAAGAAAATCTAGGCTGCAAGGAGGAGAAAGCAATGAGCAGGCACGGGGTGACTGAGAGGAGAGCTACAAGGAAGTGTTTGCTGATTGCAGATCCTGAAACAGCTCTTGCAACCCCAGACTTTACATTCAGCCTTTTATAGATTCATTAAGTTCCCGAGCTTACTAACACTGAACCAGGCCGATGGACAACTGGAGTTACACTTTACAATCAAGGGACTTGCCTGATATTCTAGAATAGTAGAAGCATACTGACTTATCCTAGGCCATTTTTGGATTAATTATTATCAAATTTAGAATATTTGCAAACCAAAAATAATATCCCTCCCACCCCCAAACTGGGCAGATTAGCTCTGGATTTTAAATCAAGTAAGCCAGAAGTGAATTCCTCCAAGGCAGCAGGCTACCGGGCTGACCAGCCCTTTGGTAGTAACTTCCTGTTTAGAGATGGAAGGGGCCTCTAGATCACCTTCTCCTCTCCTTTAGACACCACCAATTCTTTCCAAACAATTATTTTATATTTATTTTTTAGTTGGACACAATACCTTTATTTTGTTTATTTATTTTTATGTGGTGCTGAGGATCGAACCCAGGGCCTCGCATGTGCTAGGCGAGCACTCTACCACAACCCCAGCCCATCCAAACATTTTTAAATTAGCCTTTGCTACAAATGTACATGTGTATCAAGTCACTCCAAACTCACCGCTTCAAAGACCGCTATTTTCCCAGGTCAGTGGGCTGGCTGGGCTGGGCCTGAGTCTGGGCGCAGCTGGGGACATCTGCTCCAGCGTGTACATGGCTTTGCTCCTGGAGCCCGTGGCTGGCTCCCCTCCACATGTCTCTCACTGTCTGGGGTCCTGTCCAGAGCTGGCCAAGGCACACCTCCTGGAGGCAGCAGTGGCCAAAGGGCACAAGAGACCCCCCGGGGAGGCCTCTTAAGGCAGAGAGGTGGAATTGGCCCAGCATTGCTCCTGCCCGCAGGATCACAGCAAGTCACAGGGCCAAGCCCGAAGTCTGAGAGAGGAAGTACACGCCACCCTCCATGAGACTGTGGCAGGGCATGCATTCAGGAGGGTGAAGATCGGAGCCAGTCAATCTACCACCCTGGATAAGTCCCCACCCTATGCTAAAATATGCTCTCGCCTGATGAATTTTCAGGACTTTTCTTCCTTCACTTCATCATATTGAGGCTCTAAGCCCCCTGTACTTCTCCCAGAATTCTCATTCCCTGCCCAAAATCGGAAACTTTTACCCTTCATTGTTTATTTACCCCTCATTGTTTATTTAAAAATGATTACTTTTTGTGTCATATTTTATTTGTGATTGTTTGGGAGCAAATCTATACAGTCCCTTTTTGAACAAGTGGCATTAGCTTTTGTGGTACTATCTCCATTCATTCCCCATAAATAATAAAGAATACAGGATTCTCTCTCTCTCTCTCTCTCTCTCTCTCTCTCTCTCTCTCTCTCTCTCTCTCACACACACACACACACACACACACACACACACACACAAGCTGGAGAGGGAGTCTAAAATCAGGAAAAGCTAATTATTGGATAGAGCTAATCCGAACATCATCATGATGGAGAATTTAAACACTGAGTATAACCATGAAGGAAATTACTAAACTTTTTAGGACTTAGTTGTTGCAAGTGAAAAAATATTCCAAAATCCAATTGCAACATCCACAATCCATATGAGAAGGAAATAGAGCTTCAGGCCATGAAGCCTTGGTTGGTGGGACAGAGGTAGCATGACTCATGCATGTTCTATCTCTCTCTGCCTCCATGTGTGTACACATGTGTAATGTGCATATGCATGCACATACAATCAAAAGTTTACTTATGCTTAGTAGCCAATTCATGGTCATTTGTAATCAATAAATCAGACCATGTTTGCCTGACCCCTGCTGGAGTCGTTGGGAGCCAGGGATCCTAGGAAGCAGACATGTGGAAGTTGCTAAGTAGTGTACTGCACTGTTCCTTCCCACCCCCCATTTCTAAAACTAAGTTTGAGGTAACTGGGGAGAAGCCACTGCTTGGGTTAGCTGCCCATTGGTGTTGCCATGTGGCCCTGACACCTTTCTCCACAGCACTTACCACCCTACATTGTCATTGTCTGTTCAACCATCTCTATCCCCCATCTCTCCACCTGTCAATCATAATCTCCAAGAGGACAGAGAACATTCTTCTTGCTCATTGTTTTGCCTTTTGGCACAGCACCTGCCTTGTGTAAGATGTTCACACAAGACAAGTGAAGCACTTTGTAAGTAGTGCCATATAGCTAGATTTTAATTATTATAATCTCCATTAAAATTATCTAATAAAAATTACAATAAGTAAACTACAGATTACAAATGGACCAGACCAGGCAATCTGCCAACTTCACACATCATCTTGTTTTAGGTTGTACGTATCCATCTCAGCATGAATTTTCTCAGTGTATTCTTAACAATGTGGGTTGCATACTTGATGGGGGACACGGACCTGCACCCACACACACACACACACACACACACACGTGCACTCTAACATTAGTGACAAGCAGATAACCTTGGACTCCACAGTGAAATGGTTCCACCAGGAAAGCTCCTCAAGGTTGTGAAATATAACTGAAATTCAAGCACAAAATAAAATATGAGTCTTACCAGAGGAAAAATACATTTTTTTCCCTCTGCCTTAAAAGGAAAAACAAAAAAGATTTCTCCCCCCAAACGATAGGACCATAATGATTCAATTTCTCCTGCACCAATCAGCATCAGTCTGTGAGATCCAGACCTGGCACATGGAAATTTCAGCCTTAAGTCAAATATTATTTCAAAGTTAATGACCAAATCTATTTTTGCAGTGGTCTTGTTTAAAATATTTCCCCTTAATACTCTTGAAATGCTGTAATTGAAAGCAGTTATTTGAGATGCCAATGCATACTTCTTTAATTATGTCCTGTACCATCTGTTTCCAATGAAAGGGAAGTATCTGTTTGCAGTTACCAATCTTATGAAAAACAGGCTTGTCCCAAAATAGATTGGAACTAAAACCAGAAAGCATTTCTTTCAGAGGCATCCTTTCAAGCCAATTAACTTTAATCATTATAGAAATGTTTATTTCCCATCTTAGTCTCTCTTCACATGTAAATTCCTTCAGGGGAAAAGATCTCTTTTTGTGACTGTTTGAATAGTTCCAATTTGGATTAATCAGAAACTGCTGGCCTGTTTATGTTCCAATTGTGAACGCTGGCAGCTTTCCTGATGGAGAAGGCACTCTGGCCCTGCAGAGAGCAGATTCTGAAGCCCAGTACACACCCACCTACCGGCCAGAGCAAGCCCATGAGGCTCCTGGGCCCCCGCTGGCCCCAGAACTGCCTTCTAGGCTGAGGACCTGGGAAACAACTCGGGGGACCGGGCAGCAGGACTCTAAGCTGCATCATACGACACCATGTCCTCAAGGGAACAGCCTCTTGGACCCCACATCACATGTCACTCAACAAATGCTGTGAGTGGGGTTGGTGGCCCTGCCAGATCAGTGTCTGGGAGGAGGTAAGTGATGTCACTCTACCAGGGAGCGTATTGTTTCCGAGTTGCCTCTGTCCTTCAGGGAAATTTTCTATACACGATTAAAAAAAAAAAAGTGGTTGATGGCAATTTTTTTACATCCATGATGAAGGAGCTTCATTCATTCCCAGAATGTAGGCCCTGGAGGACAGGGTTGCTTGACACTTGTGCACGGATGCATCCCAAATATCAAGACCAAGGTTTGATATTATCGACTCTCGGTGAGTACCTGTTGAATGTCTTCGCTCTTCTAGACCTGGGGTTTCATTCCACATGCTCAGCGCCTTGGACTTAAAAACAAAATGGTCAAAAGGCAAGACATCCTGACAGAGAATATCTGGAAGACAGAGAAGAGCAGGGACTGTGTCTTTTTCGTCTCTGTGGCGAGATGCAAAGTGTCTGGTGCAGACTTGGTGTTTAATAAATACTTGATTAATTTAACTCAGCAAGCATGTGTGTTGGCCACCATCTAAGAAACCTACCATTTACTGAGATTTTAATAAGTTCCATTCATGTGATGAATGTTTTGCACACATGAGTTCCTCTAATCCCCAAAACAAACAAGCAAACCAACTCCAGGAAGCAGATATTAAATACTCCCAACGTTCAGATGAGGAGTTGGTGTATGGAAAATGGCTTGCTGGGTCCACCAGGTAGTACGTGCCTGCTAGGAACTCAGGTCGGCCTTGAAGTGGATACTCGCGACTGCCGTCCATTCCTACTCTGACTGCTTGAAACATCCTTTAGAAAGAGTTACCTCTACCACACCAAACTCATGGGTTTGTGGTCACAGTCAAATAGTTAAAACCACATTGTTATACTTGGGAAAGGACGGTTTCATCTCCATCTCTCCCTTGAAGTTCCTGGGGTTTTACATGGACAGGGCCTTAACAACAACTGCATCTTTCAAGTTGGGTTTCCTGGTATTTGCACGTCTGTGGTTTTTAGATCTCTCGATCCCTCTCCAAGAAGCATATAGTCTCCTCATTTCCCCAGAACCACAAGAGTAAGCACCGTCTTTCCCCTTTGGAGTTGAAATGCTATCCTATCAGGTTGGATGGACTTGGCAGGTTTGAAGTAAAGGAAACGGCCCATCCATCCCAGGCTCTCTTCATCTCCTGATTTAAATAGAAATGTAACGGAATCCCTGAAGCTGTCATGATTTAGTCCCTCTCAAAGTTCCCAGAAACCAGTCAGGAATTCCTGTGGGGATATCAAGGGAAGGCAGAAGGGGGTGGCAACCGAGGGATGCTGGGGGCCCACGACCGACAGTCGGGATGGAGAACCGAGACCCGCTAACTGCGGGTGGGCAGGGACTGAGCACCCCAGCACTCGCTCTCACCCAGATGCTCCCAGGCAGAGCCACGGAGCTGCAGAGCCCAACGCCATGCTCTGGAGCCCAGCGTCCAGGGCTGTGCCCAGGCTGGGTCGGAGCAGACGGATGATCTGTGAACAGGGGACAAGCTCTCGCCTACCTCTGAGACTTCTAGTCCATCCGTCGACTGCTCATGTACCACAGGATGCTACTAGTCATCACTGGCCAGTCTCCATCCAGTGTGGTGGGCGCTGTCCTGAGCAGCCAGGGAGATGTGTCTCCACCCAGGAAATGTCCATTGAAATTCATTAAACACACACAAACACACTCAAACACACGCCTGGGGTAAGACTGACTTCAAAGAAAAGGAATGCCAGGGTTGGAGGAAGCCACTGTGTTAAGATGACTGACAGCCGCGGCAGCGACCCAACCATACTGCCCACCCAGTGTCCACTATGAGCCAAGCGCTGTGCTGGGCAGTTCAGACTGACCTTCTAAAGACACTGTTAGATGGGTGTTATTATCCCTACTTTACAGAAAGGATAAGACTATCATTTTTAGACTACAGAGCCAATGAACTATGATAGAGGCAACATTCCAACTCCTTCCTCCTGGCTGCAGAAACTCTGTTCTTCCTGTGTTCATGCAGTTTGTTTTAAGAATCATATCAGAGAATGTGGTGAGGAAAATTATGTTCTGTGAAGGAAGCAGATTGAGGAAAAATACATGAAGCTGAAAACTTAATACAGGATCCAGAAATATTCTAGAGCTAGAAATTTTGTCTAAGTTACTAAAGAGCTTTCTAACCTGGGAAGTCACTGCACCTCTCTGGGCTTTAGTTGTCACGTCTATGCCCTCAGCGTAAGGAGATGGACTTCATGCTGTTGAGACTCCAGTGGGAGGTTTTGGTTTCTAAATCCCCACCCTGCCCCTGCCCCAGGCTTCTGGGGAAGGAGGCCTTTGAGCAAGGCTAAGTAGCCACAGCTGAAACCGTCTGCCAGCGTTTCAGTTGCAGGGCTCATGGCTCCTCGAGGTGGAGTGTCCTGGGCTTTGAAGCCGTGCTGGGCCTCCCTTCTCTCCTCCACCCAGCACAACGATCTGCAAAACACATTCCAAACGAAGTTCCCGACAGTTAAATGACCAGCTGCATGGATGAGAGCAGTCGACCTGCGAAAGGACACCATCAAAGTGTGGCTCAAGCTGTTCTCCTGAATGGACCAAGGCAAAAGCAGGAGATGGGGAGAGGCAAGAGAGAGAAGTGGTACTCTGTCCTCTACGAATGACTTCTAGGATGTTTCCTGGCATTAAACGTCCTTGGATCTATGAAGCTGCTGCCCATCAACAACCAGGGCTAACAATTAAATCACTCAAACTGAAACGTGCAGTGACATGCTAGTCACCTCTCAGAGGTGACGAGGAGATGAGAAGTGGTTGTTAGCTAGGAACAACAGATACCAGGGAAGACGATGAGTAAAAAGAAAGTGCCAAAGACAAATGATTGTGCACTCAGGATTTCTTATTCAGTTAGATCTTATGTAAGAGAGGGAGAAACCCTTTAGCAA